TTTCTTGAAGTTCAGGAGCAGATGGATAATTATCATCATAATTGACACTACACGCTGGTAATTCACTATTTAATAGTTTGATTTATTCCTTCACGATTTTAAATATTGGGTAAACGAGCTAAATCAATTTGTTTTAAATCTCTACAATAACAACGTTTGTCTATGTTTTAAAATAAAATATCAATTCTTTATTTTAAATCAGTTAATCCGTCTATTTAGACAAGAAAAACAACTAAAAATATTAATAATATAATATTAATTAATAACAAAAACCTAAATAAGAAGGTGTGGGTGTGAGGGAAGGGATCTGAATATAGAAAATTCTCTGACCCATATCCACACCCGCTCTTGTGGACGAAATATAAAAATGGCGAATACCATAAATCCAAAAAAAAATATCTAAGGCGACCCTTAGGGAAGGACAACATCTGGATCGTAGCAAGCTTGACTCATATCCTCGCCCTGACCTTGTCACCTCCACCCTCAAGATATTTAACTCATAACATTGTGTATATTTACTGAATATTATTTATTTCAGTCGATCGTGTAGGCATATAATTATTTCAACTTCTATTGAAATATCTTAATTCATTTTGTAGAATCATCCTGTAACGTTTTCTGAGCCCGTCACAAGTGATGAATCCTTATTGATATTGATATTATTAGCAAGGAACATTATTTACTAATGTTTCTCTCGTGAAAAAAACTTTCAGTAACATTCTATTAATGGTAAAATTTTTAGCTCGTTTGGTCGACAACTGGCAGAGATATTTGAATTTCTTATCGCCATGTTATTTATGGCTCACTCTATATATGTAATTATTTTATTGTTTGTTCAATACAAAAAAAAGAATGAAACAAGAGGAGTTAGTTGATGAACTAACATGGTTTGTGGGTTAATGCGCTCAAAACCTAATTAGTATCCGCTGTGATTGTTATATTCAACTGAACGCCGTCGTAAAGGTAGTTCTTGTCCTCTCCATATCCAATTTCGAATTGTAGATAGTCGCCTTCGTTCAAGTAAATATTATCGAACGCGAATCGGCCGATGTTTCGTTTGAGCCATAGCGAACGTAACTCGACGTTGTTGACGGAAAGATGAATATCCGTTGAAGGTCCTGGAATTTCTGGTCCAGCTGTGGTGAAGAAAACAGCATCAATATGGTAAGTATCTGCTGATGGAACAGTGAAGCGAATGCATGCTCTAGTATTATTCGGACCTGGATGAAAGAGAAGTTGACCCGGCGCCAAGTTGTATTCGTCTAAGCCATATTTGGCGAATTTATCCTTGTTCGTATTGTGAAAAACAACACCCATACGGTTAAATTCGCTCGAAAAAACATTGCCATAAGCTGCCACACCAGCCATCCCTGGGAATGCATCATAATATGGAAAGCGGCCATAGACGCTTGGTATATAGTCTTTGTACAACTCAAATGAAAGATGATTGTCAGGCTGTACAAAGCCGAAGGACCATAGTCCATTGGGATTCTGACGAGTGAGCGATTCGTTGGGTTGATAGATGACTCTACTGGCACTAGAGCTGCAGAGCATTATCACGAGGTACAAGATCTTCCAGAGCATATTGCTTGACGACATATATTTTGATTCTAAGCTTGTTACTCTTGCGATTAGTTATATATAGATCGACTATTCTGTTTTTTTCTTTTTACGATTCCGCGAAGTGACTGACACTGTTTGATAATATCACCCTTAGTAAGAGAGCAAACATATTATTTGGCTTTCTTCAGCCCTAACTGAATGTGAGAAGAACCACAGCTGAGAAATATGGTAGCTGTGATTCACATTTATTTATCATCACTTCCACTTTAAATACTTATCTTGTGTCCATCGTGATGCACAAGCTTCACTTGATCTTGAGGGTGTGGGTGAGTGGATGTGGATATTACTGTAGATAAAAGAAGAGTAAAACATCCACACTTACACCAACATGCTCAAGATGGTAAAGATTATTGAAGTATGAAAAGAATTGTTTTTTGAAAAAATACATTTTTTTTTATTTTTATTTTTCTATGATACAGGATCGAGTAGGGAAAATGGAACAATCAATGACTAAAATGAAAACATAAAAATTGTATTTCTATGCAATAAGAAAAAGAAACTGAAAAAAAATAATAATTTCTTTTCATTTTTCTTGAAGTTCAGGAGCAGATGGATAATTATCAT